TTCAAGATCGAGAGAGGAGTACGACAGGGCTGTCTGCGGTCACCCTGCTGTTTAACCTATACGCTGAGCACATTGTGAGAAATGCCAGGCTGGATGAGTGACAAAAGCTGGAATCAAGATAGGCGGAGAAACAACCACCACAAGAAAACCCTAAACACTCAACCAAAAAGCTGCTAGAACTAATACATTTGGTAAAGTTGTAGGATCCTGTATTAATATGTAGAAATCTGTTGGATTGTCTATATACCAAAAATTATCATAGAGAGAAATTAAGGAAACAATTTACAATTTAGCCTCAAAATTTACCATAGCCTCAAAAATAAGAAAATATTTAGGAATAATTTTATTTAAGGAGATGAAAGATCTGTACACTGAAAACTTTAAGACACTGGTGAAAGATATTGAAGAAGATACCAATAAAATGAAAGCTATTCCACATCCCTTATTTTATACCATACATACAAGTCAGGTCAAAATGGTTTAAAGACTTGAACACAAAACCTGAAATCATAAAACTGCTCAAAACTATTCAAATCCCTAAAGGAGGATGCCATCAAGGTTTTGCATTCATTATGTAAATGAATCTGAAAGACCCAGCATTGACCACAGGACTGGAAAAGGTTAATCCTCATCCCAGTTCCCAAGAAGGGTAGGACCAAAGAATGTGCTAACCATCGGACAATTGCATTCATCTCCCATGCTGGTAAGGTCATGTTTAAAATCTTGCATGCTAGGCTTCAAAACTTCCAGATGTCCAAGCTGGGTATAGACAAAGAAGAGGAATTAGAGATCACATTGCCAACATTTGCTGGATTACAGAGAAAGCAAGAACATTCCAGGAAAAAAAAAACATCTATCTCTGTTTCTTCAACTAGGCTAAAGCTTTTCACCGTGTGGATCGTAACTGTGGAAAGCTCTTAGAGAGATGGGAATACCAGACCATCTTACCTGTCTCCTGAGAAACCTGTTTGCAGGTCAAGAAGCAACAGTTAGAACCCTGTGTGGAACAACTGATTGGTTCAAGATCGAGAGAGGAGTACGACAGGGCTGTCTGCGGTCACCCTGCTGTTTAACCTATACGCTGAGCACATTGTGAGAAATGCCAGGCTGGATGAGTGACAAAAGCTGGAATCAAGATAGGCGGAGAAACAACCACCACCTCAGATATGCAGATGCTACCACTCCAATGGCAGAAAGTGAAGAGGAACTTAAAGCGCCTCAATGAGGGTGAAGGAGGAGGGTGAAAGAGTTGCCTCAAGACTAAATATTAAAAATCTAAGATCATGGCATCTGGCCCCATTACTGCATGGCAAATAGAAGAGGAAAAGGTGGAAGTAGTAACAGATTTCCTCTTCTTGGGCTCCAAAATCACTGCGGATGGTGACTGCAGCCATGAAATCAGAAGATAATTGCTTCTTGGCAGGAAAGTGATGACAAACCTAGACAGTGTGTTGAAAAGCAGAGACATTACTCAGTTGACAAAGGTCTGTATCGTCAAGGCTATGGTCTTCCTAGTGGTCACTTATGGTTATGAGAGCTGGACCATAAAGAAGGCAGAACACCAAAGAATTAATGCCTTTTAACTGTGGTGCTGGAGAAGACTCCTAGAAGACCCTTGGACACCAAGGAGATCTAACCAGTCAATCTTAAGGGAGATCAATCCTGAATATTCACTGGAAGGACTGATGCTGAAGCTGAAACTCTTGTATTTTAGTCATCTGATGTGTACCCATGACTCATTGGAAAAGTCCCTGATGCTGGGAAAGATCGAAGGCAGAAGGAGAAGAGGGCATCAGAGGATGAGAGGCTGGACGGCATCACTGATGCAATGAACTTGAACTTGGGCAAACTTTGGGAGATGGTGAGGGGCAGGGAGGCCTGGCGTGCTGCAGTCCATGGGGTTGCAAAGAATCAAACACAACTAGGTGATTGAGAGCAACAACAAGCTCCTTTATATTAGTCTTGGTAGTAATTTTTGGATCTGACACCAAAAGCACAAGCAAGAAAAGCAAAAATAAACAAGTGAGACTACATCAAACTGAAAATCTGTACAGAGAAGGGAACCATCAACAAATGAAAAGGCAACCTATGGAATGGGAGAAAATATATGCAAATCATACATCTGGTAAGTGGTTAATATCCAAAATACATAAGAAACTCACAGAACTCAACAGCAAAAAAGTCAATGGCCCAAAGGAAAAATGTGCAAAGGACCTGAAAAGACCCCTTTCAAAAGAAGATATACAAATAGCCAATAGGCACATGAAATAATGCTAAAGACATTACTAATCATCAGAGAAATGCAAATTAAAACCCCAGTGAGATGTTACCTGTTAGGATGCCTATTATCTAAAAGACAAGAGATAGCAAAAGCTGGTGNTAGAGGTCTTCTCAAAAAATTAAAAATAGAACTACCATATGATTCAGTCACCCCACTTCTGGGTATTTATCTAAGATAACTGAAATAGGATCTCCAAGACATATTAGTACTCACATGTTTATAGCAGTACTATTTATAGTAGCCAAGATATGGAAACAACCTAAGTGTTAATCGATGGACAAATAAAACATACAATGGAATGCTGTTCAGCCTTAAATGTGGAGAATGTTCTGCAACATGCAACAACATGGATTAACCTGGGGAACATTATGCTAAGTAAAGTAAGCCAGTCATAGAAAGACAAATACTGTGTTATTCCACTTATATGTGATATCTAAAATAATCAAATTCAGATAATCAAAGAGTGGGATGATTTCCATGAGTGAGGAAAATGGTGAAGTAGGGAGTTCTAAATTAGCAGGCATAAAGTTTTAAGTAAGAAAGATGAGTAAATGATAGAGATCTGCTGTACAACATTCTACCCATAGTCAGCAATACTCTATTATGCACTTTTAAAATTATTAAAAGGGTAGATCTCATACTAAGAGTACTTATCAAAATATAATAAAATTAATAAAGTTTAAAAAAAAGACCAAAATGAGGCATCAACTCAAAAAGAGAAAGATAAACTCAACAAAGAATGCCCAAAGAAAGTAAAAGAAAGAAAAGAAGTACAGCTATTAATTAAAGGTGAAAGAGGAGAGTGAAAAAAATCTGGCTTAAAACTCAGCATTCAAAAAACTGAATCATGGCATCTGGTTCCATCATTTCATGGCAAATAGATGGGGAAACAATGGAAACAACGACAGACTTTATTTTCTTCGACTCCAGCATCACTGCAGATGGTGACTGCAACCGTGAAATTAAAAGACGCTTGCTCCTTAAAAAAGCTATGACCAACCTAGATAGCATATTAAAAAGCAGAGACATACTTTGTCCACAAAGGTCCATGTAGTCAAACTATGGTTTTTCCAGTAGATGGTGACTGCAACCATGAAATTAAAAGACGCTTGCTCCTTGAAAAAGCTATGACCAACCTAGATAGCATATTAAAAAGCAGAGACATACTTTGTCCACAAAGGTCCATGTAGTCAAACTATGGTTTTTCCAGTAGTTATGTATGGATGAGAGAGTTGGACTATAAAGAAAGCTGAGTGCCAAAGAATTGATGCTTTTGAACTGTGGTATTGGAAAAGACTCTTGAGAGTCCCTTGGACTGCAAGGAGATCAAACCAGTCAATCCTATAGGAAATCAGTTCTGAATATTCATTGGAAGGACTGATGCTGAAGCTGAAACTTCAATACTTTGGCCACCTGATGTGAAGAACTGACTTACTGGAAAAGATCCTGATGCTAGGAAAGATTGAAGGCAGGAGGAGAGGTGGATGACAGAGGATAAGATGGTGGGATGGCATGACCGACTCAATGGATATGAGTTTGAGCAAACTCCGGGAGTTGGTGATGGACAGAGAAGCCTGGCGTGCTGCAGTTCATGGGGTCGCAAAGAGTCTGACACTACTGAACCACTGAACTGATACTTGGATAGTGGTGTTCTATGTGTGTGTGCTCAGTCGTGTGACTCTTTGCTACCCCGTAGACGGTAGCCTGTCAGGGTTCTCTGTGCATGGAATTTTCCAAGCAAGAATACTGGAGCAGGTTACCATTTCCTACTCCAGGGGATCTTCCCAACCCAAGGATCGATTCTCCGGCTCTTGCATCTCTTGTGTCTCCTGCATTGGCAGCAGATTCTTTACCACTGAGCCACCTAGGAAGCCCCACTAGTGTTCTACTAATTTATCAATATGGTATATGCAAGTCTTTTTCTAAAAATAGGTTTATATTTCAAAATAAGTTACTAATAATTAGTTTTACTTATATTTTACCTCTATTAATTATTAATCATTTTAATATACACATAACTTATTATTAAAGCTTGCAGTTAGGGATTTATATAATTCTAATGTCTTGAATTAATAGTGAATAAAATCATTTGAATTAATAATAAAATAAGCAAAATATTCCTTTAATTTTTTAAAAATTTCACATTTTCTTATGGTGAAATATTTTGCTACCTTTGGTTTTCCTCAGAATTAGAAAAAGAAAGGGATTAAGTCTACACTGTATACACCATATACCCAAGAGGCGATACTACCTAGTGGATAAGATCGCAGAATTAGGGAACTGCCTGAATTTAAATCCCAACTGTATCATGTACTAGCTCTGGGACCTTAAACAAATTACTTGACTTTTCTTAGCTTTCATTTTCTCTCTAAAAATGGTCACACTGAGGTTGTTGGGAAGGCTATATAAGTGGTGTGCATTGAATAGTATATGGCCCAGAGTCAGCACTGAGTAAGATTTACCTATTATAGTGGCTTAGCAGTAAAGAATCTGCCTGTGATGCAGGAGATGCGGGTTCAATCCCTAGGTCAGGAAGATCCCCTGGAGAAGGAAATAGCAACCCACTCTTGTATTCTTGCCTGGGAAATCCCATGGACAGAGGAGCCTGGCAGGCTGCAGTCCATGGGGCTGCGGAGTCAGACACGACTGAGCAGCTAAACAACAGCAACAACAGTGGCAGAAGTACTGGGCATCTATTAGATGTATACTGCGTAGTAGTAGAGTAGATATTATATAATGTTAACCTGTACCCTTTTCTGCTTCATCATACTTGCCTTATTTTTAATTTGGGAGCATTTTATGACCAGAATGAGGCTTCTGTTTTCTTCCTTTGTTTCTTGGTGGGTGGAAACACGACATGTTCAATGTTTACAGGGAAAAAGGGGCACAAACAAGGTAAAAAAGAGCTACTTCTCAGATTTTGGCCTGAGCTTTCTCTCCTTATCCCCTCAAATCTTTGTTCTGTTATTTTCCTTTTATTTCTAGGTTAAAAGCACTTACGGAAAAAGGAAAATTTGATAGTAAGATAATAGAATATTGTAATATGGCAATGAATTCCTCAGTGGAAAACAGCATATGTATAAACAAAGTATGGGTTCAATGTGAGAATGAAAGTTGTTTGAAATGGAGACTGTTATCAAATGAAGATAAAGCCAAAGTCAATCACAATGAACCATGGTACTGCTTCATGAACACTGACTCAAAGTACAATAACTGCTCTGTTTCTGAAGAAGATTTTCCTGAAGAGTCTCAGCTTCATCAAAATGGATATAGGATCGTCTATTCACAGCTCCCTCTTGGAAGCCTGGTTTTGGTAAAATTAAAGAATTGGCCAAGGTAAGATTTTTGTTGGTGTTTTCTAATAAACTTTTGTGGTATAATCTTGCTAATAAGTTTATTAACTTTCAAAACTTTTCAAACAATCAACTTCTATGTTGTTGTCTAACTTATTTATTGTTTTCTGGTCTCATTGTTATTCTTTCCCTGACTTGTTTGGGTTTAATTCTTCTTTGTCTAGTTTCTTAAATTGGAAGCTTAAATAACTGATTCATATCTTTTTTTCTTCCAGATATGGGCAATTAAAGCTATAAATTTCTCTTTAAGCACTACTTTAGCTATATCCCACAAATTTTAATATGTTTTGTTTTATTACTATTCAGTTTGTGATTATTTTCTTTGAAATGAGTTATTAGAATTGTGTTTTAAAATGACCAAATAAGGGATTTAAAAAACATTTTATTGTTATTGAGTTCTAATTTAAATCTCTTGTAGTCTGTTTCATTGGATCTTGTTTTATGGCCCAATGTGGCCTATCTTGAAAAAAATTTGCATTCTTTAATTATTGCCTAGATGCTTAAAATGTCTTTTTTCTTTTGATTTTTGTACACTTACTATTTTATAGCTCAGTGTTTCCCATTCTGGGTTGATTTCTCTAGTATGCAGCATGCATTTTCAGTATATAGTTTCAAGTCTTTTCATCTCGATTATTTTTTCTTAAATTATAATCAGTTTATTGTTGCATTGCTTTGATTTTATTTTTGGATTCCTGTGGTACTGATGGTGAATCTTCTCTGGTTAGCTTTGGTATTACTTTTTCTTCAGGAGTTTTCGTCTTTAAATTTACGGATTTTCCCTTTCCATGTGTTATTTTTCTGAAGGAGTTACCAGTTCTTGTGTTCTTCTAGTTCAGTCTTTATTGACAATTTTAAAATTTCTTTCAAGAGTTTTGCCCCTTCTCTATTCAAATCTTCCTTTTGTCCCATCACCTTGTTTTCATTTATATTCAGCTATTCACCATGACAAATATTAGATGTTTGCTTTCCTGGGGAGACTGTGATGGGTTCATCTAACACACAACACAGAACACATACAAGAGGTCTTCAGGTCAATACCTAGATATGTGCTCTTGCTCTATCACTTCCTGTTACGGACTGATTTGAGGTTCCCCCCAAAGGTCATATGTTAAATCTCTAGGTTCACAATGAGACTGTATTTGATATGAGAGCCTTTAAAGAGGTGGTTAAGTTAAAACAGGCCCTCATCCAGTCTGACTGGTGTTCCTGTAAGAAGAGAAACTTTGAGCACACAGTGGACAACCAGGGCCGTGTGCAGAGGCCAGCCCGTGTGAAGACAGCATCTGCAACCCCGGGAGAGGCCTCCAGGAAAACCAGCCCCGCTGATACCTTGATCTGGGACTTCTACCTATAAGACCGTGGGAGAATAAATTTCTGTTTGTAAGCTCCCCAGTCTGTGATATTTTTCTATGGTAGCCTTAGCAAACCAATATACTTAATATCTTTGCAGATATGGAAATCTCTCAAATATGTACCTTTTGTTACTGAACGTTTTTCTAGGGATCAAATGTGAAATATTGTTTAAAAATACATATATGTTAATTGATATGCACATATATTAATTGATATATATAATTTATACACATATAATTGTTGTTGTTTAGTTGCTAAGTCATGTCCTACTCTTTGTGACCCCATGGACTATAGCCTGCCAGGGTCCTATGTCCATGGGATTTTCCAGGCAACAATACTGGAGTGGGTTGCCATTTCATTCTCCAGGGGCTCTTCCTGACCCAGAGACTGAATCTGCATCTCTTGTATTGGCAGGCAAGTTTTTTTTACCACTAAGTCACAAGGGAAACACATTTAATAATAGGATGGGCTTGAAGAAGAACTAGAGTAAAAACAAATGTTTTTAAAAGCGTGAGTATGAGCACTTATTTTTGAAGTTACTTATGAAGGTATTTGTAGTCCCATGCTATTTTTCATACCTCTAACGTTTTGAAAGCAGAACATTTATATTTACTAATGGAAATTCTGAAGGTTCAGTAATTCTAATTCAAGAGACGGATTTGAATCTTGTCACTATGTCTGAAATATTACATTAGAAATTTGATTAGGAATTTCTTTTGCAGTTTTGTGCTTATAACTGAGGGTTAGAGTTTGAAATACGAATGAAGCATGTTTTACTCCAGTCCCTAAATTACCTCTAATCTGTGATTAAGACCATAAAAATGCTGCAAAATACAGCTGTACTCACCTTCTTGCTTACTGGAAAGAGTAAAATACATTTTGCTATGTAGTCACATAAATTCTTCTTTATAAACTAACTACAAATGAACACAGACTTAAAGTACAGACTAAGAAACTCAAATCTATTGCTTTATTGCTTATTCAGTACCACAAATACATAGAAAGATGATAACAGGATAAATTGCAGTAGTAGAATATAAAACTGGATTAACCTACTAAAAGCAGCCAAACATCAGTCCTTAATTAGGAAATATCGATACTGAAATTTCAAATGGGAAGACCAGTCAACTGACTGCAGAGACACTTGGCAGTGTAGCTTTAACGTGTGTGAGTTACTAGCCTTTGCTCTTACTGCTAACTGAGGGCTCAGAACTCAGTCTTATCAACATCTTCTCAGAAGAGTTCACATTCTCCTATAAAGCTAAAAAAGCTAAAGAGAAATTGATACAGAATCAAGAAATGCCTGCTTAATCACTGTATAATAAAAGCAAATAATAGTTAAGAGAACATCACTTTCTTTGTGGTCAAGCTCCATGAAAAATCTAATTATAGTAGTCATATTTGTCACCACATCATAAAATAACACACACTTATAAAAATACTTACGCAGTCTCTTGCCTTTGAGTTATGCCCATTTGAGCTTGAGGATGGGGCTGTCTTCATTGCTAGGAAGAGAAAGCTATAATGTTTAAGAAGTCTTAGAAAGAGCAAGGTAAAGGTAAAAAAGAACTTCATATCTCAGTATAGGAAAATACAATGTCAAGCAGAAGCTAGCCATTTTACACAGATGTTTTGCAAAGATTCCTCATAAATATGAAAATTAAAGAAAATATATTTGCATTCTAAATACTATGGGCCAAACAGTTCAACTCTGTCTGTAAGTTAGCAAGCCAATCCAGTGTTACTTTTTAGATATAAGAACTCAGTCTTATCAACATCTTCTCAGAAGAGTTCACATTCTCCTATAAAGCTAAAAAAGCTAAAGAGAAATTGATACAGAATCAAGAAATGCCTGCTTAATCACTGTATAATAAAAGCAAATAATAGTTAAGAGAACATCACTTTCTTTGTGGTCAAGCTCCATGAAAAATCTAATTATAGTAGTCATATTTGTCACCACATCATAAAATAACACACACTTATAAAAATACTTACGCAGTCTCTTGCCTTTGAGTTATGCCCATTTGAGCTTGAGGATGGGGCTGTCTTCATTGCTAGGAAGAGAAAGCTATAATGTTTAAGAAGTCTTAGAAAGAGCAAGGTAAAGGTAAAAAAGAACTTCATATCTCAGTATAGGAAAATACAATGTCAAGCAGAAGCTAGCCATTTTACACAGATGTTTTGCAAAGGTTCCTCATAAATATGAAAATTAAAGAAAATATATTTGCATTCTAAATACTATGGGCCAAACAGTTCAACTCTGTCTGTAAGTTAGCAAGCCAATCCAGTGTTACTTTTTAGATATAGTATATATATTTAGGGCTTCCCAGGTGGCGCTAGTGGTAAAGAGCCTTCCTGCCAGTGCAGGAGTGGTAAGGAACCTGGGTCTGATCCCTGGGTCGGGAAGATCCCCTGGAGGAGGGCACAGCAACCCACTCCAGGATTCCTGCCTGGGGAATCCCATGGACAGAGGAGCCTGGCGGGCTACGGCACGCAGAGTCTGACGTGACTGAAGCAACTTAGCACACACACATGTACTCATTCACAAATGAGATCTCTACTACATCTTTTCATTAACAGTATTATAAAATATTATTTGATTACTTCTTATTTGCATACTTACATACTTTTGTATGTAAATATGTGTGTGTATGTGTAGAGATGAGAAATTTCCTTTTTCCATTGGTCCCTGCTGTTAGGTACAGCAAAGAGATTTCTTGGCAAATATAACAGTAAGTTAGTGATGATTCCAACTCATCCATTTTGTTTCCTATAGATTAAGGATGAAGCTCAAGTAAAATTTGCTATCTCCTTAAACATCCAGACTACAGTTTTAAAAATGTATTTATTTCTTCTCATTGGTTATAAATATATGGCAGCCGATATCATGCTTAAGCTTCAACTTCTGTTGCAGGCAGTAGCTATCTTAGATCATTTCCACTGGATAAAGAAAGTATAAAACATCAGTTTCTTTGTGATATATTTTCTGTTCCTTTGAAATTTCTTGTGCTGCCTAAGTTTCCAACTTCCTGCTGCAAGTAGATTTCAATACCCAATGTCCGTTTGACCTTGCTGCGTTTGTACATTTTACCTTCCACCGCCCACAGGCTCTAAGATTGACTGTACATTTTTCCTTGTAATTCTGATATCCTTTCCTTGGGTTGTTGACTCTTACTTTCCCTGTCCACCTTTCAGCCCCCACACAGCACTTCAGAATTTCTTCTCAATATGAACATGAAAAATCAGGAAGTAGAAATGCACAGTGCATTATCAACATTGACAGTTTGGGAACTCAGATTGAGGTCAGAGTGAGGGTGAAACTGGACGTCAACTTCTTTCTTCAGTTACAGCAAATCAGAGCAGATGATGGATGTCGCAGCTGGAGAGAAGTAATCATGTTTTCTACATCTTTTGCCTCTGCTCAGCTTTCCCTGCAGTTCGGCACATTCTGTTTTAGCTGAGATATGCAAACTTGGAGTCAGATAATTCCTTTGCATCACCTGAAAGTGCCCAAGTTATTTGGACATTTGATAATGCTTTTCATAATTCATCTTCAAATCAGTATGCAGCATTTTCTGTAATATATTTCAAATAATGAACAGAAGCTTTTCTGTTGGCATCTAATTCTTTTTAGGACTCATCTCTTTATATTTTATAGAGTAATTAAGTTGAATACTCTTGGACCCAATAGGTTTCACTTAAAAAATAGTATCAGAATTTGTGTCAGAAAAGTAGCAGCTCATCTAACACATAAAAACTGCCAAATATTTCTTTCGTGTGTTAAATATCAGATATCCATTTTCTGAGACTGTTTTAAACTGAATGAAGTAGGTACTGCTTATAATTTGGTATTGGGTTGGTAGTAATCCTTTTTAAAATTTCAGTGAGGTGCAAATCACCTAATATTAAACATGAACCCCTTATGTTTTATAAAGAGTTTAAACAAATAGAATGTAACAATCACAGTTGGGTTGCCTTTAAAATAGTTATTAATCATGTTGAAGGACACACTTGTTCCTTGATTTCTTGTAAGTTGGGTATCTCCATTGCAGCTGCCACTCATTCTTAGTTATTTATCTACCTGTTGAAGTCTTCTTTTGAGTGGATTCCTTCAGAAATGTAGGTTTCCAAAATAGGTTTAAAATATAAATTGAACTCAAGTTTAACTCTTAAGCGCAGTCCAGTACGAGTTGCCAAATACCAGTAAGATGCTGTGATGTGAGTCTGGTAACAACCAGATGGTCCTCTTCATTTAGGTTCTGAACTCTCACTTGACTTTCCATTATCATTTCCACTTCTTCCCAAGTATTTGACTTCTTTGGATGTCAGGTTGTTGGACTCAGTTTTTCATTCTCTGTCATGTCCATGCATTCTCAGACATGTCCAACTCTTTGCAACCCTGTTAGCTGTAGCCCTCCAGGCTCCTCCCTCCATGGAATTTCCCAGGCAAGAATACTGGACTGGGTTGCCATTTCCTTCTCCAAGGGATCTTCCCAACCTGGGGATCAAACCCACATCTCCTGCATTGCAAGGCAGAAGATTCTTTACCACTTGAGCTATCCAGGCCCTTTCATTCTCTAACCCTTATTTTCTCACAATTCCAGGGGCTAAAAGTCTGAGGTCAGGGTGTCAGCAGGGTTTATGTCTTCTGAGGCTTCTCTTGGCTTGTGGGCAAGTCTCTCTTTTTGTCTTCTTGTGGTCTTTCCTCTGTATGTGTCTAGATCCTAACCTTTTTTTTTTTTCTTCTTCTTTTTTTTTCAATTTATTTTTATTAGTTGGAGGCTAATTACTTTACATCATTACAGTAGTTTTTGTCATACATTGAAATGAATTAGCCATGGATTTACATGTATTCCCCATCCCAGTCCCCCCTCCCACCTCCCTCTCCACCCGAT